TGTTTCCGGCACTTTATGTGCGATCCCGCTCTGTTTAAGAGACAACTTTGGAGCCATTTGTTTTATTAAGACGCTTCAGATAATACACACTTGTTACTAAATACCAGCGGGGACCTTCTTTATCTCCTTTCTATATATAAAATGTCCTAATGTGTTTTTTTCTTTCTTACAGATCCAAACACAACTATGATTTGAGCTGATCTGGTGGGTAAACCAAAATATACATACATTTTATGCACGTATCTTCATTAAATATTACCTAAAAATGTATGATACCAAATAGGACACTGAAATCTACCACAGACAACTATCACACTCTGTAACAGAACTACTACGCCGAAGCTACGAGACTGCTACGAAGTCGATATGAAGGAAATAGCGACCGTAGCAGTAAAAGTTTATAAAACCAAAAAAATGTATTGAATCATGAAATATTAATTAAACATTTTAAAAGGAGAAGACAAACGTTTGAAAATGATGTTTTACTAAACATCATACGACCCGACTTCATATCTCTTTTTTCAATTAAAAAAAAATAAAATAACACCGTACTTTTATTTCTTTAAAAAAAAATTATACTATTGTATTGCTTTTAATACTCTCTACTATACTTACTCTTCTATTTATATTATTTTTTTACTCGTTATCTTACTAATATTATGAATGCGAAAGTTTAAATGGATGAATGTTTGTTGGAGTTTGTAGCCTAAAACGCTAAACGGATTTCAATTAAATTTGGCATGTAGAGCATAGTCTGGAAGAACACATAGGCTACTTTCCATTGTTTTTTAATTCCGGACGGAGTCATAGGCGAAAGCTAGTAGTTTAATAAAATGAATTGTATTTTCCTATTCCAAAACTTTTCTATTATTTTTATTGTACTTCACTTCACTATTAGCGTAGTCTATATAACGTTAATAGAATGTCGTCTCAGTAACGACGAAGCTATTAAGTTTATTAAGAAAAGTAAACAAAAACTACTTCAATGACATCCGTCTAACAAAGGCTTTTACTCAAGTAGAGTGCAATGTTTTTATTATACCTATGCACAAGCTTTCTCACAGATATCTATGTTTACTATTTCAACTTTTGTACTGAATCCCATTTTCACTTTAAAAAGGAGTTTTAATTTTATATCTGAACTAGCTGTTGTTCGCGACTTCGCCCACGTGAATTAAAAAAATTATAAAATGTAGACAATATTGTTCACTAACAACGTAGCTTTTTAACGTTGAAAGATTTTTTGAAATCGACCCAGCATTTTTTGAGTTATTTTATTACATACAAAATAAAATCTAATATCGTATCTAGTCGTTCAAATTTTTAATCGTTTCCATTGAAAATAATATTTACATTAGTTTGTGCAAAGTAGCAATGGACCATTATATTTTTAAATTAATAGGTTATGATAAATTTCTAAATTTCTCAGCAATCAGCATGTTCCATAAAAACATACACACGTCTACTAACATCCTAGTTATTCCTGATATAAATAATCTTGACAAAATATTTGCAATATAAATTTCTGCAGCTTTAGAAGTTTATTTCAGAGTTCTTTTTGAGTTGCGATAAAACGAGTTTTTTGGCCCAAAACGCATTACAGCAGCTTTTTTAATTTCAGTAAAGCGCATACACATAGGTCGACATTCATTCCAAAATTTGCCGCATGAAAAATTAAGCTTCAACCATGTTGAAAACTATTTCAGAAATTATATTTATGGTAGTAAAACTTTGTGCTTTTAGGTTGCCATTTGATCATTTATGAACTATACAAAACTATTTTTATAAAAACCATATATAAAACTTCGAAACCATGATATTGAACTTTTTTTTTTAATCTAAAATATACAATAAGTAACTCGTAAACACTTTGTGAGCTTCAATTGTGTTGAACAATTGCACCGGAGGACCTACAAATGCATGCAGTTCGTAATTAAAACGAAACTGCTAAACTACATTACAATAGTGAATATGTATTGAAAATTCTTATTTCATTTCTATTTTTTCCTTATTTTAAACTACATCTGTAATATTGATACCAAATAACTTAAAACATCTTACTAATATTATAAATGCGAAAGTTTATATGGTTTTTGTAAGAGCTTAGAGCCTAAATGGCCTAAGGATCTGGATGAAATTAGCATAGTCTGGAAGAGTTAATAGGCTACTTGTTTGTATATAATTTTATTTTATCGCAGACAGAGTCGCGAGCGGAATTTGTATGAAATGTTTTTGTATATCTATGATAATGTTGGACGTAAATAAAATAACGTTAAACGCTATCTAGTTACTGTTTTCAAGTAATTTCATATGGAATAACGCTTAAAATTCGATTTACTTCATTCTTTATGTTAACAATATTGCAGATATGAATACAAAAAACAGGTGAAATAAACAATCGTTCTCGCACAAACGATGTATTGTAAATGTTCCATTTATTTCTGGAATCAATCGACCGTCGACAACACGACGTGTGCATAAAATGACTTGTTTGCTGCACTTGATAAGTGGAACACATCGCCTGCCATTTGCATTGCAGAGGGCGACATTTATGTACTCTGTTACATAAGTAAACTATTTTGCATTAGCTTTTAAGTAACAATTGAATATCGCGTGTAGGTTAAGAGACATAGGGAATAGTTAATTCCAAACTCTAGTGAACGTAAATCTTCTATTCAGAAATCAAAGAAAATCGATTCAATAATAAACAAAGATAATAAGATTATAAATAGTTAATAAAAATAGTAGATAAAGATAATTATATTAAGTAATAAAAATTAATAAAGTGAAAGTAACACGTTACATCTGCAACAATATAAATAAAATCTACACTTCAAATTACACCTACTAAGTTACATATACAGATAAAAGAAGCATATAGGGTGTAACTGTAAAAGTACCTATTTCCACAAATTGCAATACTCTTGAAGCTCAATTTTAATTAAGTACGTGAAGAGCAGGTTCCATTCCATTAGCCCTCGCCCGCTCTAATTATATAAACGGCTTTGTAGTCAGCGACAATATTCTATAGGTACTCCTATGCACTATTCTAATTAGTATTTATTTCATTATATTAATATTGGAATCGGATTAAAAAGGATTGTGTTTTTTTAATTTTAGCTACGTATAATCTAGAATGGTATTTATTAAATTGATTCATTAGATTGATTAATTAAAATTAAGATAAAAAAATCAATATTTGAAACAAAACTATCTATAGTGTTAAAAATTTCAGCTACGTAAAAGATATCGAACGTTCCGTGGTGACAAGTGACGACTAGAAATGTACTGAGCTCTTGAGCGACTGAAGGAACTGAGGTACTGACGGCTAGAGAGCTTGTTAGCGACCGAGCGACTGAATGCAACTGAGAAACTAAGCGACTGAGGGACTAAGAGCGCTTCACTCCTTGCACTTGCAAAGACTTTTATGAAACTACCCCCTGAAATAAATATGAAAATATGAAAATACTTGCGCACACGCACGTCGTAGGCGCGCTGCTCGTAAACACACGCGTCGCAGGAGTGTTGCTCGCGCACACGCACGTCGTAGGCGCGCTGCTCGTACACACGCGCGTTGCAGGAGTGCTGCTCGCGCACACGCGCGTCGCAGGATTGCTGCTCGTTGACACGCGCGTCGCAGGCGCGCTGCTCGTAGCCAGTCGCGATGCACGAAGCTAGACGCTTTGCACGAAGACAGCAGCCTTGCTCGTAGACAAGCCAGGCCTTCCAGGACAGGGCACTCAAACACACTACTTGCACCATCTCTTCAGTCGAGAGAGCTCGTTCCCTAACAAAGAAGCCATATTAGTAAAATGACGTGTCGGCAACGTGTCACTACACACTTTTACAACTCTCTGCCTGAAATCTTGTCTAGACTTGTCGCAACTACAATTATCGCGATCACGGTAACGATCGATATTTTTCATTTTTCACTTTGCACTTTTTTATCGTAAATTCTACAACATACACAGTGGGTGTTAAGGATAGAATCACGTGAATCCTATCCCACTTCTGATGTTAGAAATTTCGATACGAATGACTTTAAAAAAAAATATGATAGTCGAGCAGTAATATGAGCAATCCTGGTGAATTATCATAAAACGAATACACTAAGGCAACTACGTAAAAGATATCGAACGTTCCGTGGTGACGAGTGACGACTAGAAATGTACTGAGCTCTTGAGCGACTGAAGGAACTGAGGTACTGACGGCTAGAGAGCTTGTTAGCGACCGAGCGATTGAATGGAACTGAGAAACTAAGCGATTGAGTGACTAAGAGCGCTTCACTCCTTGCACTTGCAAAGACTTTTATGAAACTAACCCCACTACTACTTCCGTTAGTTCCGTAACAATAGTGTATTATTGTTTAAGATACAAAATGAACAAATTTAAAATTATACAAAACAAATAGAGTAATATTATAGACTACACAACATACAAAATACACCATACAAAGTTGGTCATGGAGTTTGTTGAGTAGAAGTTGGCCAAGTAAAAGTTGGTCGAATGTTCGTCGAATAGAATCAATATTTCTTACTCGATCTTTATCTATATCCTCTTGAATGTGTTTCATGTAAAATAATTCAATGATAGGAATGTAAAGAACAAAGAGGTTAGATGATAAGCAAATTCCGATAACACGGAAAGCGGCATTCCTAAACGCTGAAATATTTGAGCTACGAATTTGACGGCTACGACGAATTCCGTACATAGACGTGCTTCGGTTTTTCAAGTTCTCGAACTATTAAAGCCCTGCGGGTACAAAAATATCGATATCTCTTTTTTAAATTATTGCAAAACTTAAAAAAATAACGCCTACGAGGTCTTATAGAGTTTGATTTTTATGTAATACAAATCTCTGTTCCCGACCCTCATTTGACCGCCTTGTTTGATAAAAAAAACTTGCGAATGAATCCTTTTGACGACACAAACAACTATGCAGGTAAATGACCTTTAAGGTCCTTCTGTTCTTCAGCATTCATCAGTTACCTTGTTTTCAGAGGCTAAAGTCGACGGGCGAATGGTCCGCAGAGATGGGAGGGCCGCGGCGCATGTCAAGTGCGCTGCTTCTGCCCTTTGCCCTCCTGTCGCTGCCGCCGGCGAGTGCTTTCAACGCTACTGCCTATCGAGTAAGTAGATCAACAGGTGACTATGTTGGATGTCACCAACTTGCCTTGCGAGTTCACTTTAATACGATAAAACTGTGCATGTAATCACATGATAAGGCCCATCTCCACCTTTCTTCCTTCTCTTTACTTTGCTTTTTTTCGACACAAAAGTAAAGAAAGGATAAAACTGTGCTTAGCTGTCTGTTTCTTTTAAAACAAAAATGTTTACTTTAATTCTTTTTATACTCATCCGAATAAGAAATACACGTATCTTTTGTACTCTAATTTACATTCCGTTCGATTCACTGTGTGCCACGTGTATTATTTAATCACACCAGGCCCACGTGCTCACACTGCAAAATGAGCACTCGTTTACTCTGACGACTACCTCGAGTAAACAATAATGATCTTCCGGTATCATCGTGCTAATATTATTATATGCGAAAGTCTAGATGGATGGGGTGGATGTTTGTTAGAATTTATCTCCAGAACGGTACAAAGGGTCTCGATGAAATTTGGCTACTAATTAAGTTTTCTTTTAATTTCGTGCAAACGGGGTCGCGGGTGCAAGCCAGTTACATATATTTTACAGAATATGTTTTAAAAAGTGTTATAAAAATTAGTTGAGAAGAAAACAAATTAGTCTACAGTCCTGAAGGCAATTATTCCGTAGAATAAAATAAAGATTTTGATAATGTAATCTCTCTTGGTAGATTTTTCTAATTTCTTTTCACGTTTCTCGAAATTTCGTTTATCGCATTCGGAGTGTCGTTAAGAAACCTTTTCTTACCTTTTATTCAATAACCCTCATCGGGGTCGCGCATCAACGACACCGTAATGACTCTAACGTGACTATCTGATCGTTTTGAGTGGTTTGCGAATAATTCTCTGCTTGCTATTGCATTTTTTAATGAAAATGCTGAGTCTTAAAATGCGTGTTATCATGAGTATCGTTGCTGAAAACAAAAATTACCTGTTTACATTCCTTTTATATTATTATTTCCGTATTTTTCGTGCCTGAAACAATTTCTGAATAATACATTTCCTCGAACTTTTTCATCTCAAGATTTTATATTCCCGCTATTATATACGATAACAAAGTTTTAGATATTTCCACAAATGACTTCCTTTAAAATATAGACGGACGGCCATATTAACAATACTTGTAAATTAGTTTTAAACACACAAACTGAACTCCAATGCGACAACGCAAATATATCGAACGTTTCGTTGTGACGACTAGTAAAAAACTGAGCCACTCCTTGCCATATATTTTATAAAACTACCCCCCACTATTCCTTTCGTTTCCTAATATTTTCCTCACAATATTTTTGTTTTAAATAAAGATAAATGTATTGGTATATAGCACAAATTAACAAATAACTTTTAAGAATACAGAAGACATCAAAAATAGTTAAAAAGCTAACAAAAGCCTTAATATCATGATTAAAGAGGAATGTTTACTTGAAATCTTAGATATAATTTATGGGTTTTAAATTTGGTTATGTAAACACAACACGCGTAAACACGTGAACATATAAGTCAGTTGCAGTTGGTTGCACGTGATGTAGTTAGGATTAGAAGCATTCAACAATATACAATGTATGTTCTGTTAATAGTTCTCTATAATCATACGGCAATCAATTAATACAATAATACCAATAAAAACTGGCCAATGTATCTTCTACCGTTGGATTGCGCAACAAGATTTTGTCTTCCAAATAACTATCGTACGTCATCTCAGTCATCACTTCACTTTCACGCAATCCATTCTTCTCTTTCTAGGGCTACCTACCGGTGTTCACTCAGAACAAACGTTCTCGTAACATGCGATTCATCTCTCCTTATAACATGCCCATACCATGCTAACTCTTTACTTATTAGTCAATTATTAATGCATAAAAAGTTGTACGTTAAATTAAAGTTTAAAATTTAATATGTAGAGGATAATTCTCTTAATAGAAAGCACCCTCGTCCTAGCTGATCATAGCTGTATATATTTATATTTAGTTCGCAATGAACGGTCCATCGAACTGATGAAAATACGCTACTCACCATACGTTTAATGTGGCACGCAATTCATCATTGTGTGTTTGCAATTTATGAACATACTGAAATTTCAACTATTTGCACTCGCCATTCACAAAAGCTATTAAAGCTGAGCACAAATGCACCGATTACAATACTTTTAGATATTTCTATACAAATGATTTAAAAAAATATTGACGATCGGCCATACCAACAATACTTGTTAATAACTTTAAAACTAACACAAAGTCAACTATTTAAAGATGTCAAACGTTCCATGGTTACGACTAGAAATGTACTATCGGACTGCTGGACTCAGACTGAGCTCTGTGCGATTTTTTTTTTTTGTGACTGAGTTGTCACTGTTTGCCTTGAAGAGGCATTTACAGATTCACCGAGCTTGAGGTGGCCGAGCGCAGATGGCGCATAGTCTAAACCTCTTTTATGAGTAACTAGGCTCGAGGGCTCCCTCAGGAGCCTCGGCTCGGGCCGTTACTTCGTTATTATTACCGGATTGGGCGGCCACCGAGCTCTTAGATCGCTTCGGCGGTCGCTCCATGGAGTGACTAAGCACAAGGGTCCCCGAGAGGAGACCTCGGCTTGGGCTGTCACTCAATACGCGTTTAGCATTCCGATTCAATGGTCCGACTAATACATTAATTTTCATGCAGCATGTTTAAAAAAAATCTAGCCTAATTTTAACGGTTTGTTTATACCGTAATTTATGCCCGGTTGACAGAGTGTTGAAATACTCCTTGGAATTTCTGTTTTTAATCGAAAATATTCTCTGTCATAATGTTTGGTCAAGAATGACTTGTTTTTTGTTTTAAATAAAGTAAATGTTTATCAATCGAAGTAACGTCGTTTTTTTCTTCTATAATATAATTATTTCAACACAGGTTAAATAAGATAGATTAGTTTGATAAATGACGCATATGAAGTATCGAATTCAATTTGTATGAAGTCAAATGCCGTACTTATTAGACAGGTATCGTAGTGACGAAACAAACACGCAGCAAACAATTATTAACTATCGATATTCGGTTTAGATAATAATTGAACTCAACTAAAATTATTTTTTCTCATTAACTAATTTAGAGGACAATTCTATTATTGATTATAGTGTAGAGAATTTAGCGATGATAGAATTAATAGCGAAATCCAATTCGATTACGTACGGCTGTAATAGTAATAAGCATTTATTTACTCTCATTATTTGTAATGGTCATTGTTAATTTGAGAGAAGTGTTTTTTATTTTCAATTCATAAGTTATAACTATGAATCTATCGATTCCAACTTCTATAAGAATAAAAATCGAAAATCTATAGATTCATGACTGATTTTACACAACCATCCCTACTAAATTTGAAGTGAATTGTCAAACTAATCTAAATTATGTAGACACACTATAATGTTTTAATTACTAGTTGCATGACTTGTCGGTACTATCTAATCATAATTTAAAACGCAAATTTTAACTTACTTTGTGAAGATAAAATTTTATGAAAATTCCACCTCTTTAAAGCTGCTTAAAAATTGAAGAGAGTGTCGAGCAAAGAGAATTAATAAACGTTATTATGGAAACGTTGGAGGCCACTCGTGGTAATAGTGCGGTTAACGGTTGCAAATTTTTAAATGCAATTAAGTAGATTCACAAAGACATTATTCATGTATTCCAGTTGGAATATTCGGATACAAAAATTGTGAGTTACCTTTTTATTCCTATATATAAAAATAGACAAGTCCTTTGTTACCTCAATATTGTCCATCACATCAACAACAATCGTTAAGACGCGTTATATTCTGAAATAGGGTTATTTTTTTGTATTGGTAGAGATTGAAACATTCTTCACATTATTTTTCAACCCTCATTCCCGAAACGAAGAATTTGTAACAAAAGGTTAACAATTAATTACGAACCTGGTAGGAAAACTTTATTATTTATTTAAAATCTTGACTCTTAATAGTTTTAGGTAGTGATTCGCACCTGATATTAAAGATAATTAACATTTTAGTGTAGCGTACTAATAGTTTAATTATGAATGCTTTTGTCACTAGCGAGTTTTGAATGAGCGAGCTCTGAGCACATCTGTATTTTGAGATAACATGTTAACTTCCATGTTAATTTTGTTATTATTCTATCTCCTGTGATAGTTTAGCGTTTATTACCGCGGTGTTCTAAGAGCATCAAGAATAATTAAAATCTCCTTATATTAAAAGTTGCAACACATTTTATGTATTGTGAAAATAAATCTAACATAGACATTTAGAAACTTCTTCTAAATTTCTAAACGTTGATTAGAAAGTATTCAAAATCGATGACTCGAACCCGACTTTGACGAAATGTTACATACAACAATAAAAAGATAACATTTTTTTTTAGGAAGAAGTGGAATCATCTCTACGTTTAGTGCACGCTGTGGCTACCGGGGCCACAGGGGCACTCTGTGTGACCCATAGATACGGCCGACTGCGGGCGCCTTTGCACGCTGCACGCTGGGACACGGCTAGAGCTAGAGCCGATTTAGCTGCCAATATGCTTCACCAGCTTGGCTTGGAAAACGCAGGTAAGACAGAAGAAGAGTCTCTCCAGACTTTGTTAATTTTATTCTAATAAAATCTGTCTATTCCGTACGGCGGTAAATCTAGAAATTATAGTTTTTTTAACTAAAAATCAAAAGACGGCTACAGTAATAAAAGTCAATATGATTGTCGAGATATTCTAAGAACATCTTTAATACAGTCAATAATGTTTTAGCTAGTCTTCGGTTTGAGCAAACTAGTCTTGGGCTTAATCGGACATCTGCAAGTGCGCACCGTACTAGTACAATTTGGAAGACTTACTAGTACACACTTGTAGTACCTTTAGTACTTCAGATTTGTGAGAACACAATAACAAGAATAGAATATAACGAGGATCATAGATTACTTCACATCAAATTTTAAGCAGGGTCAAACATATGTTATTAGCGAAAATAAATTTAGTTATGAATAATTTTATCCACTTTTGATTCTTATTATCGAAGATGGATGCTTCAATCTGGCAAATATTCAATCAAATCAAACAACGAAGAGGCGAACACCGATATCGTGTAGTGTACTAAAAGTACTAAATGTCCGATTAATAGAAGCCGTTCGGTAACGTTACTTTTAGTACAGTGCCGAGTAACATTACTTTTAAGTACATCATACGTGTACTACCCAAGACTAGAGCAAACGACTTAATTAAAATATTTCTATTTGTGACAATTTCAGATGTTTTGACGGCTGTATCTCAAAGCCTAGTCATGGGAGCAGGTGCAGCGGAACGTGCAGTGGCAGCACGCGCTGTAGTTCTACAACCAGATGGAATTATAGAGGGATCGATAGCTTGGGAGAGATATGGCACGGGTGAGCCAATTGCCGTACCCGCGCCGCCGAGGGACAACCCTCCAGATCCCGAATATCCATGGTACTTTTTGATTTTTTGAAATCGCAAAGCGTCGGTTAATCATGATTGAAGGCTCCATTACAATTAAATATGATGTTAAGCTAATTTGACTTCAAATTCTAATAAATCGTACCGTACAAATGTGGTATTTCCTGTTTTAAAACTTTCTAGTTTATGAACGAAATCACACAGGTCAATGTCAAATTGTGTTGTTTACATCCGTTTTGACAAGTACATGTCTTGTTTTTAACAACCGGTGTTATTAAAATAAACTTGTAACTTTTTTAAAATAATATTACAGAAAACAGGAGAAAACGTAGCATCTAATATTTTCTATTAAAACCTATAGGTATGTATCAGCTTACCAGACTGAAGAGCTTAGGTCGTCGAAGTTTATGCCTTCGCCACCTGGTGCTGCTATGGGAGGCTGGTGGACTTACCCGTATTATAGCTGCGAATCTGAACGCTGGCTACTGTCATACACAGCCCCGGTTTCAAAAATCCGCGGGTAAGTAAACTTATTGCTAAGATGTACTAACAGATTTTAAAATAAACCAGAAATGTGAAGTTGAAGGCTATATTGCAGTTGTTTGTGTATAAAATAACTTTCTCAGGTTAAACGGAGTTGTTTCACTGGATATAGACATATCTAATTTAGAAATCAATCAGTGTGAGGCAAAGAATGATGAAGATAATGATAATCAAATTTATTCCTTCCACGGAACTCATAAATGTCCCAATGAGACTACATTTGTAAGTATTTAGTACATTATTTATTCTTCAAAAACACATTTGGCGCCACTAACATTTAAATATTGTTATTACAGTGTATATATAAACCCAACCGGGAAATGAATGCAAGACATGCTGGTTGGGCAAGAGGGTCATATATTTGTAAATGCAGACCTGGATATTATTCCCCACAGCATCCTGAAGGTTTTAACGGCTCTCTTGTTGAAGGTAATATTCAAAGTTAATGTCTAAATCTAATAAATTAAAAACAATTAACAACTATAAGAAATCTATACTTCATAATTTGGTGTTAATGAAATTTTATACTTACATGCTAACTTTCAGAAGAAAAATATTTCACATATCAAATTCTATGTTTTCAGTTGCCTTCCAAGAATATGAAGAAGGAGGTTTAGAGAACTGGCGTGAACCTTATGATTGTTTGAAATGCCAGCCAGGTTGTGAAACATGTAGAGGTCCAACGCCTTGTCTTGCTAAATATAACTGGCCGTTCCGGTAAGTTGTTTGTATATGGTGTCTCTAAGTATAAGGCAATGATTTGAAAGCCTTGTTTAGGTCCATTAACTTCTACTTAAGGAACTACTCAACCAAATACTACTAGATCAACCACTTGTCCTACTATTCAACCAAAACCGGCTAAACCAACCTCCTGATTTTAATTGAAGCTTAACATTCCATTTAATACTTATATTCTCCTCTATGCTAATATTTTAAAGAGTAAAGATTAGTAGTTTTGTATGTATTGAAATAACTCAAAAACTACTCGGCTGATTGAAAAAATCTTTCACCATTAGAAAGGTAATTTGTCTGTGAGTAACATAGGCCATGTTCATTATTTTTTAATTTCACGCAGACATAGTCGCAAGTAAAAGCTAGTTTTACATATACAAATAAGCTTGTTTTTAATATTGTGTATTGCAGGATATCTCTTCTGGTGATATCAGTGACGTGTGCGGGGCTGACAGTTTGCCTCACATTCTATACAAGACATCATCGCCGTGTCAAAGTGATCCGAGTCGCAAGCCCCGTCTTCCTCTCAATTACATTGCTGGGATGTGCTATTATGTATATGGAAGTAAGTACATATCAACACATCACCAGATTACTAAACACCCCATTGAGGCGCCTACCCTACCCTAAGTTAGGGTGACTACGCCTTAGTCAACCATGTGGCCTTCTGCGGGTTGACTTAACACATATCTTTGAATTTCTTCACCAATATGTGCATCATGATGTTTTCCTTCATTGTTAAAACGTCGGGTAAATTATGTAGATATAAAATTCGAAAAGCACATTGGTACATGAGGAGATTTGAATCCAGGACTTATGGATAAGTCAAATGCTTGAATCCCTGAGATCGACAATCAAGTATATACACTAAAAAATGTACATTAAAAAAAGGAACTCACTAGTGTTATAAGGATTACACAACAAAAAAAAAAAGAATAGAAAAATAAACTGTGCAAAAAAGAGTACAGACCAAGAGAGTGTAGAAGATGATAAAAAAAGTATATATACTAGATATTGAATCACAATACCATAAATAGTTATTTCTATTGAGTGAACTATGAATTAAAAATGTTACAGATGGCAGCTATATTCCCAGTACTTGACAGATATTCATGTATTGCCACTAAATGGACTCGGCATATGGGATTTTGCCTCACCTACACAGCTTTGCTCATGAAAACTTGGAGGTAAGTATACAAATCTTATTAATATTATATAGCTTCCGCCCGCGACTGCGTCGGCGTGAAACTAATAAAAAAACAAGTAGCCTATATGTCCTTGCAGACTGTTCTCTACATCTGTGCCAACTTTCATTCAGATCCAGTCAGCCGTTTAGGTTATAAACTCTAAAAAATATATAACCATCCACCCATCTATATTATTAGTAAAATGAAAATGTTTAGATGTATGGATGTTACTTAGAGTTTGTAGTGTAAACTGCTGAATGGATCTCTATGAAATTTAGCATAGATGTAGAGGATAGTCCGAAAGAACACATATGCTAATTTTTTTTTAATTCAACCCAGATGGAGTCGCGGGCGAAAGTAGTAGAGTTATAGTTTAAATTATAATCATTAGATTTGTCTATGAATGATTACATTTTTTTTTGTAGAGTTTCACTAACTTACCGAGTTAAGTCAGCACACAAGTTGAAATTAACTGACAAACAGTTACTGCAGTGGATGGCGCCCATACTTCTCATAATGCTGGTATATCTCGGAACATGGACATTATCATCACCACCAGATGCTGAAGTTGTGAGTATTTTACTAATATTATAAATGCGAAAGTTTGGATGGATGGATGTTTGTGAGAGTTTGTAGCCAAAACTGAACAGATCTCGATGAAATATGGTATAGACGTAGAGAACAATCTGGACGAATACTAAAAAAAATACCATTTTTGTTTTTTTTAATTCCATGTGGATGGAGTCACCGGCACAAGCTGGTCATTTAAAAAAATGTTATATTCAAATTATTGTCAATATTAAAAAATATTGGAAATAAAATGATTTAAAATATCTACATAAGATAATAATAACCATGGTAATTATATGGAGCAGTGCTTTTGCCTTTTTTTTTAAATTATTATCTTTTTGCAGATAACCGACGATACGGGATTAAAATTCAAGCAATGCACATACAATTGGTGGGATCACAGCTTAGCTATAGGTATTGTTCAATATTTTATGCATTTAGGGGCGTTTACACACATTTGACTAAACTATCGCAGAACTGTTTAATCTCGCTTTGTTTTCTATTAGCTTATAAGTTAGTGCACACTACTCAATTTTTAGTTTTTTTTTTATATCATAAGGTGACAAGAGCAAGCGGCCACCTGAATCCGCCAGAATGGCGAAGCGACCGCTGCCCATAGACATCCGCAATTGCAAATGCGTTGCCTACCATTATCCGACGGAGGAGGAGACGGACATAAAGTGGATATTTCCCCTTCCTATGCGTCTCCTCCACCGTCAGATCCACTTCCCCTTCCCATTCTTTCCTTATAAGAAAAGGGCGGTAAAGAGAAAGGGATTTAAATTAGGCCTCCGGTACCACACTCATCAGACGAAACATGGAATTGCTTCCACTTCACGTCTGTCTTCTGTGTGGTCGTGGTATTACTGGGGGCGTGCCGGCCCTGCAGTGCTAACATGTTAAAGCGGGCACTACCACTGTTGAAGTGTAGTTATGCAACTAAACAGTTGATTTGGCTACAAATGAATCGGCAATCGCACAACAGGTGTGCCTTAGTTTAGTGCGCACGCTCTTTCTTTAATTATCAAACACAAATTACTGTTAGAAATAAAAAAAAAAACATTGCTTATATATCTTTTTAAAATCATATATTTACTTTCATTGTGACAAAATCAAATTATACTCATATTTATATTTAATTTAATAATCTTCTTACTAATATTATAAATGCGAAAGTTTAGATAGATGGATGTTAGAGTTTGTAGCCTTGACTGAACGGATCTCGATGAAATTTGGCATACATGTAGACCATAATCTGGAAGAACACATAGGCTACTTGATTTAGTTTTTTTTTCCGCGCGGACGGAGTCGCGGGCGAAAGCTCGTAATTCATATATATTTTAATGAATTATTGTTCACAAATAAACAAAATAACTAATTTCAGGTGAAATTCTATTCCTACTGTGGGGTGTGAGAGTTTGTTACCGAGTCAGACATGCGGAGAGTCTCTACAATGAGGCTCGTCTTATTTCCTACGCTATATACAATATATTCACAGTTAATTCATTCATGATAACAATGCAGTAAGTATTAATCTATACTAATATATAAAAGGACAGATTTGTTTTTTATATTGAAATGACACAAAAACTAAATTTAAAAAATTCAATCACCATTAAAAAGCTACGCTATTAGTGATTATTACTGACATAGGCTATAATTTTAATCATAATGACTTCCTTTTCTAGAATTTTCTTGTAATATTTAACCAATGTTTAAACTAATTAAATTTTTTTTAGTTTATTAATTTTACCTCACGCGGGACCTGATATTAAGTACCTTCTCGGTTTCATAAGAACACAGTTGTCCACATCAACTACAATCCTGTTAGTCTTTTTCCCAAAGGTATGTGGAATTGTTATATTTAAATGTTTTCCTTCACCGTAAGAACATTGCGTAAGATGTACAAAAACTCTAAAATCACATTGATGGATGGCGGGATTCGAACCCAAGACCTGTCGATTACGAGTCATGTTTTTAAACCTCTGAGCCACCGGTGCTCTTATTTTGTTAATCATAGTAGGGTTGTAACGGAGGCCAATTTAACGGATGCGGATGCGGAGGCGAAGAGCTTCACTTCTGCAAAGTGGAGGTTAACGGAAGCGGAAGCTGAGGTCTATAATAAAACATTAATTGATATTTATTAAAGAAGTAACAACTTAAGCTATGTTTATTCAAAATGCAGATTGGACATAATTACAAGATACAGTTTATTATGCAAATATAATGTATAACAATTCTAGTTAGTGGGCCTAGCACGCCCGCGCGGGTCGCATAAACGTAACCTCACCGCCCCACTCGCGTTAAAAACGTAAATTAACCTCCATTATAACTCCGTATAAGAACTAACGGAAGCGGATGCAGAGGTAATATTTCTTGCGGAATTTTCGCACTTGCGGATGCGGAAGCGGAGTTCCGTTACAACCCTAATTTATAGTTAATAGTGTGTTAATGTTAGGTGGTGAGAGTGATCCGAGGCACAGGAGACACTTGGGACAGCCGAGCACGTGCCCGAGGTGTCCCTGCCTCCTCCTCACTGAACGGCATCGGCTTAGTGCCTGATGAGGCACCGGACTTGTACCAGGAGAATGAGGAACTAAAGGTATTGTGTAATCCGCTATTTGATGTGACAAAAAGATTAAAAAGATTGTAGACGAGGCATAGTAAAATTTTCTCTGAAAGGTACTATATCTGTTGTGAAGTTTAGTGCCACCTTCTGTCCTTTTTTTATAACATAAGGTGTCAAACGAGCAAGCGGCCACCTCAATCCGCCAAAATGGCGAAGCGACCGTTGCCCATAGACATCTGCAATTGCAGATGCGTTGCCTACCCTTATCGGACGGAGGAGGAGACGCACATCCCTTCCTATGCATGTCCTACACCGTCAAAACCACTTCCTCTTCCCATTCTCTTGTTATAAGAAAAGGGTGGTAAACAGATAGAAACTGTTTATTATATTTTATGCTTATTGAATTGCCTATAGAGATGTGTAAGGATTTACAATTTTATTTACTTTGGTAAATGGTGAATGTTATGTTGATATTAACATCAATTATTGACGACTTCCCAAAAGAAGGAAAACTTCGCCGCTAGTAGACCGATTTTTTTGTTTAATAAATTTGAAATACAACTGATTTAAAATGTTGTTTGCAGGAGGAAGTCCAGAAACTGGCGGCTCAGATAGAGTTTATGAAGATAGTGCAGATGGAGATGCACAACCGGCACCTGCGGCCGCGCCCCGGCGGCTACTTCAGCCAGCTGCCGCACAGCCCCCTCCACACCAACACCAATGTACAGGTAATGTACACACAATAATAATTTATTGTTTACATTTGTCAAATTCTCAATTCCAAATGTCAAAGTTACCGTAATAACCTTGCTTCTTTAATGGTCTCTTTCCCACATGAGGGTTTTTACCATTTTTTTACTATTAACTAGTTGTTCCCGTGCGGCTTCATCCGCATGTAATTATAAAAAAAATATTTTATTGTTCACATTTGTCAAATTGTCAATAGCAAATGTCAAAATCACATGACATGATAAACCTTGACAATCTTGCTTCCTTGATGTTGGCATCAACTTATGATCTCTTTCCCACATTAGGGTTTTTATCCAAAATATTTAAAAATATGTTGTAATTGCTGACATCTTAGGCAACAAAGAAGTGTGTGTTTACGCTTTATTATGATAGTATAGATAAGATTAAGATTTACATAAAATTAGTACAGATATAGATGATATCTATTGACATTTACATCTATCCAAAAATTTTATAAAGAGGAACGATTTGTATTTCTGTATAAATTGAAATAACTCAAAAACTACTAAGCCGATTTCAAAAAAAATCACACCATTAATAAGCTACGTTATTGCTGCGTGTCATAAGCTATATTTCACGTGAACGAAGTCGCGAGCAACAGCTAGTTTTAAATAAATAATGTGGTCGAGGTAGGAGGTGAGCGAGTGGGGCGGGCCGGTGTGACTGGTGGCGCTGAGCGACGGCGGCTGGTCGTGGCCCGGGCCCGCCGCGCGCCGCCTCACCACCGCCCTCGACCCGCGCCGCCCCGCCTTCGTATGACCGTTACGTCGCACTCTTCATTACCATTTACAACATTCTAATAAACTAATCCTATTATTTTCAGCACTTTTATTAACACCTGTAATATTGTTTATAATATAGTGTAACGTTAATTATCTAATTTAACCCTTAAATGCATTTTTTTTAAATACTCTGAATTAACGAGAAGTAAATTGAACATAGATCAAGGAAAAAATAAAGAAAAAAAATGTTTTTTTTAAGTAGTCTGTTGATTATGGAAGAGAAGGCATGTATATATGCATCATTATGTATTTAAGGGTTAAAAAGCAAAGTCAATATAATAAACATATCCTTTGATTGTTCCGATTTAAGTTGAATGTTGATATTACTAGCAAAGCTATAAAATATTTTTGTTACGATGTAATTTGATGGCTAAGCTTTAATCCTCATATAAATTTAATACAAAATAAAATTATATTATTATATTATTTTTCTACAACCAAAAATTTCTTGCTTTTTTTTTTAAGTATGTAGTCATATTTTCTAGTCATTAATTGTAGTCATTGTTGTAGTTTACAAGAATGTATAGTAGAGTTAAAAAATAATTATAGTGTAGCTGATAAGAAAAAAATATAAAAAAATCAAATAGAGATATGATTAATGCCGGGCATTTTAAATAACTTATTATGATAATTAATTTTCAATTGTAGATTACTTGTTACCTTAAGCGAAAATTAATTAAAAACGGCTCAACTCACGCTTTTTTCTTCCGGTGCCGTCACCGGAAGAAAAAAGCGTGAGTTGAGCCGTTTTTAATTAATTTTCGCTTAAAGTAATGTCTCACGATAGTTTAAACAATTTAATTACTTGTTACCTTTTTAATTTTAGGGTTAAAAAATCAACATTTTTTACTCTGAAATTAAAAAGTTAAAAAAATGTTTATTTTGTTCCAAACCGTTGCATAATCAAAATGTCAATCATTAATTTAAATTTTTACTTAAATGTGTGTTAAAATAGGTGTTTTTAAAGAGATACATTTAGATTTATAAGTCGCGTCTGATTTTATCAGTAAGAAATCATAGTTTCATTCCAGATTACTTATAATAGAAATGTAAATAATGAAATGAATGTTTAAATTGTATTAATGTTGAATTGTTAATAACTCTTTGCTTTCATGAATCACTTATTAATGTATAGAACCATTGGAAATTCAAAAAATCAGGAAAAGAATATGAACTTTCCGTGCATCAACAAAACTTATACATATAAAGCAAGGATGTCAGGAATATAATTATCTGTTCTCTTTGTATATAAGAATATGTGTGAGAAAAAATAGCTACCGCACAAGCTGGACCTCTAATACCGGAAATTACTTCCTTCAACACATGGATGTTAAAACGTTGCTTTCGTACTAGACTCGAAATTGTATTCATATTAGAATTTTAACGTGTAACAATAATGGCTAGTCCTTTATAATTGTAGAATAATACTCAATGTGTTAGATGTCTATATTTTTTATCATATATTGTAGTGCATTAAAAATTGTTACAAGATAGGTTCATATATCAGACAATAAAATTCGGAAATAACAATTTTTAAATTTTATTTCTACTTTCAAAAAAATATATCCATTTCGTGACATTTTGCTTTAATAAAGAATTAATTTATTGATATTTTTAATGCTTAGGATATAGTTATAAGTGTTTCAAAATCAAGTTGTAAATATAAAAGAAAATAAAGCATAAATTCTAAAATGTATATAGTCAAATAGATGTATTTCCTTTTGTTCATTTTATGTCTGTGATAATTATTTATTATGTTTTAAATATTTAGGGCCTGTCCCACCAAATTGTAAATTGTCTAATAACAATCCATTGTGTAATATATGTGATTGAAATATCGGATTTTGTTCCCTTATCTGACTTCTTAGGCTACCTGAGCCTCTATCAACCAGTGGTGGGACAGGCCCTAAATGATTAATGTTTAATAATGTTGCTATTTATACAAGTTTAATAGAGTCAAACCAAATGTATATTAAAACCCTGGTCAGTTTTAACATATAACACCAAAGTCTCATTGCCTATTGCAATTTCAATTATTGATTTCCTAACTGCGCTTATTTTATATTTAACTTCAGACAGAAAATGTATTGATAATTGTTTATGAATAATAAACACACAGTAAAGTACAGTAAAGTAATTCTATCTGTCAAACAAGGATGACTGGGCTAGTAAGACATTGTTATTTATGTTTGTTTTGTCAGAAAATATATAATACCTACTTGGCTAAAAGTAGCATAACAGGAGCTACTAGAATTAAATTTCTCTTGTTCAAACAGAACAAAACAGCAAATAATAATGAATTTAATTATTAAATATCAAATAACTAAAACTGTATTTACACTTATATACTTTAAACTGACTTTTTAAAAGGAGGATTTAAATTTGTCTGATAAAAATGTTGAATGTTTGTTATTATTTTGATTTTAATTAATATATAACAATTCTTGTCTTCAATAACTTTATTAGCTGTAAATTTTGTAGTGAAAATAAATAATTGTTAATGTAAATACTTTAAAATGTTAATATAATGTATCTGCTGCGATCATTATTTTTTAGGCATACAATTCCAGAGCAAAACCTGCTTAGTCATTACAAAGTAGATGTCTGTAGAGTAAAATTTATGAATGTGATATCAATATATATGTGAAATAGATATTAGACACATTTAGATATTAAATTGTTTATTTTAATATTCTATGAATCTCTAAATTTTATAAATTATTAAAGTTAATTGTGCCAATTTGTAAATTTTCGATGTGATTTTAAATAGATGAGAATTGCAGTTTCATTTTTTTTTGTATAGATTTTAAACTTTTAATAGTATGATAAAAATCACGATGTTATTGGGCAGTAAATTTTAATGAAAATGATGTACTTGTTGTTATTCTCTGATAGCTAATAGATGGATAAATGTAAGTTGTGTTTTTACAATAAAATAATTTACTGTTTTCATTGTTTGCTTAAACCTCCTGAGTGTATATTAGAAATGCATGTTAACAATTAATGAATGTCTATTTGTCAAGAATAGGCTTTAAATAAAAATTGGAATGAATGAATGAAAGTAGGCTTGGGTTTAGCAAAACAAGTCTTGACTCTCAAGCACAGATATTCGATGGAGTGTAGTCTTTGACAAGTTTATAAAATGTAACTCTGAATAAAAGGTTTATCAATAGGTAAAAAATAAACAATTCAAGATAAACTTCAGTACCCAGGATGTATTGGAGTAATCAATATGAGACTTATTTTTTACTAGTTGATTGATTTTACCCTACAAAAATAATCTTAACATTTTACTAATATTATAAATGCAAAGCCTTACATGGATGGATGGTTGTTTGCTGTAACAAACATTAGTTTGTAGCTTAAATAGCTGAATAGATGTCATTAAAATGGCATAGATGCAGAGGATAGTCTGGAAGAACACATATGATACTTTGAGTTTTTTTTTCAATTCAATGCGGCTGGAGTTGTCGGTAAAAGCTATTTGTGATGTATAAAAGAAAACTTACACTCTGGACTTAAGGTAATAATTGACATATCCTACATATGTTATAAATTTAAAAAGAATTTTAAATAATACTGCAGTTATGTTATTAACTCTTTATTTTCTCACAATAATTTACTCTTAAATTAATCGTAAAGTTGATATCAAAAATGTCTATTATTCATGGAATCCATTACATAGTGCTCCAAACAGACGAAACTTACTACATACAATTATTTTTGGAACACAACTAACTAACTACAAATCCTTAATGCTTACTTACTCTCTGCCGTCTTTACATTGCTTTAACAAAGTAAGCATACATGTAAATATTAAAATTTATTCACACACTTAAACCATATTATTTAAAGTACCTTTTTATTTTAATCTAATCATCAGACATTAAATCACTTTTTTTTAGAAATGGCACTAAAGAACATATGAACTCTGTTGAATTTTTAATTGATTTGACATCATTTTTCACACAGTTTTTCTGAAGCAAATCCAATATCTCCATGTCTTTTCTTGCTATTTCACACACATTTTCGATAGATGACAGTTCCTCATCTTCCGCACTAAGTAAAGCCTCCAATGATGCACCTCTTTCAACACGCTTCCTCAATAAAGCTACTTCCTCCTTCAGGTTTTGATATTCCTCATCAGAAACTTGGTCTAACTGGACTTCATCTTCAGGTAACAAAACGTTCGGTGGAACTTTTAGTAATCTCTCAATCTCACTATCTATAGCTTCCAGCGAGGGTCCCGCCCGTTCACAATATAACTTAATTAACTTATCACATGCATGTGTTAAAGTTAATTTATCTGTGTTGTTCAAATCCAGTGTCTCTTTTAAATAAGATTCCATGTCCTTTACTCCACTCTTGATTTTGTGTTCTACCATTTGTCTCACCGCTATTTTAAGACTTTGAGCACCAAAACCAAAATGTTGGGTTTCATATTCTTCTTCAGTACCACCGACCCATGGTTGTGTTTTAATCATTTTAACTTAAAATTGTTCTTAAAAAAAAACAATTTAGATGAAGAAATACCGTACTTTTTCATTCAAAAAACGCTTGACAAAAAACTGACAAAAATTTAAATGACAGTCTCGAACACTATGGTCAGCTCAAAGATTATACAATTTGTGGCCATAGACAAGAGCAGTGTTCACAGTTTAAATTCATGCGGAGCGAGCGAGGAGGGTAGAGTGCGTTGATCCCTTTCTATGACAAAAATAGTGTGACCATAAAATAATCGGACGTTTTGCGCTCGTCGAGTTTCAAGTGTAGAGAAATTTGAAATGCGACGTTAATTTTTGAATTTCCAAATACTTGCGCTAAACGTATTAATTCGTATGGTATTCGATCATATGATGTTACATTTATGTCTTCAAACATTATTTATATTTTAAATTAAAGACAATTGAAATAGACTTAGTTTATTGCAATTGTCTTTAATATTAAAGATTTACGTAGCACTGTTACAATATATCTTATTGCAAAACAAACACAAATAAATAATAACCAGCTGACTGGTTAAGACAATGTTTTTCGAGAGTGTGCACATGTATGTAAGTTAAGTAGGCATACATGTGCCTTTAAAAATACCATTTATTTAATGAAGTGTGAGCGAATGTACGTTTTTATTTAATTTTGAGAGAGGAGACAAAGAAGGAGACACGTCAGTTTACAGTTTACAGACAGTTCTCGCTATTGATAATTCTTCAGTAATGTATTCATCGTCGGTAAACCGTTTGGCGAGTAGGGCCCTGCATCGAAAGATAATTAGCCCCAAATGTACATGTTATAAAAATAACATTTTGAAATACAAATGCCAAAAACCAAGAAAATTTAAATAAAATAACTCGATTAGTCAGCGTCACGATCACGATCATGTAATGAAATGTATGCGAATTATCCAAGCGGCGACGCACAACGCTTGTAGCCGTTCCGTGAACCGCAACGCAATACGCTTCACTTCACTATTCCCTTCAGTAATCAAGTGGAGTTCGAGGTGTATCGACGCTCCAGCTTATCACAACAATAACATAACCTCACTAAAGTTCTATCGTGTTAACTTTCACCCGTTACCTTTTGAAGTTAGTGAAATTTTGTGTTTTTGTAATAAAAACATTAAAATTATTAAGGTTTAAGTTGTGAAGTTATTGCTCCTGAAACGAGATTGTGCTCGGTAGTGTTGTGTTTATAAAGTTAGCATTGTTTAATTTTATGGTTTTCGTGTTTCTACGGTTCGTGTATCCTGACCCTGAACTTGTGGCTTAAGTCTGCGTCTCTTGGGTAAGCTTGATCCTTTTGCGTTTTTTGTTGAATTTGCAAAAAAATGTTTGTTTTTGACCTTCATAAAGCAACATTATACACGTGTTGCGCTTTGTTTTTAGTTTGCATGACGCAAATTACAAACTATCTTTGTCATCATTTTATAACCAGTACAGTACTTACATATAAACAATTAAGGAAACAGGAAACTCTAATTTAATGTGCGCTTTATGGTTGGGAAAATTTATAAACATTAGTTTCCTAGTTAGAATCATCTTTAATTGAACTCTTCACACAGATTAGAGTGAAATAAACTGCAATTATATTAAAAAATGTAATTTCATTCAACATTGGATAACAGACCATTTAAATTCCAGGCCAGCCAAATCTTTATTGCATGAATACTTGTATAATTGCGATTTACAGTTACTAAATCGTTTCAATGTTTCGTAAACACTTGTTCTTTTTAAATATCTACCATATATTGAGTTTAAAAATAATAATACCGATGCATTTCGGCTTTCACGTAAGAATATCGTATCGTAACAATTAGGTATGTGTCGTAAAAATTTACGCTCAGATAATCGTTATCAGAGTAACGAACCACGAATAAGATAATGCCATAAGCACGTTACTTCAAATACCAATCTATATAAATATTATAAAGAGGAAAGATTTATATTTTTGTATGTATTGAAATAACTCAAAAACTACAGGGCCGATTTCGAAAATTCCAAAATTCTATGACCATTAAAAAGCTACATCAGTGAATAACATGGGCAATATTTTTTATTATTTTTTAAATTCACGCGTGCAAAGTCGCGTGCAACACCTAGTTAATGGTTTGTTAAATGGGTATTTTATCTGTGTAATATTCCAAATTTTTGCTACAAGTATATTCAGTGAGATCATGAATTGACGGAATTCAATCGGTAACATGTACAAGAGTATGCATTCTCTACATTATACAAGTTATTTCATGGCAACAATTGCGCAGTGCTTTAATTTACGTTTTGATAGCAATCTTGTACCGGAATATTGTTTTTTTTTAAACATTCAGCCAAGACTCGCCTACGCTTTGCGAGTTCACTTTCATATGAAAACATCGAAGTGGAATGGAACGTATAAACAGAAGGCCTTACAAGCGTTCAGACATTAATTTAAAACCAGTATTTAAAATGCTAACACTAAATGCAAATTATTTAGGTTTTCTATTTTAAAATTTTAAATGGTTTTTTTTTGACCAGTCGCACTGCTATTAGTCGTAATAAGATATATTAAAATGCATCTATGAAAAATGGCACGATAAATTGTTTTTTAATTTCTGTATTTTAACATTACATTCATGCATTATTAATATTTACTTTAATTGTAAAATATGATTGTTGTTTTAATTTTAAAAACAACAAATTATACTACGTTTAATTACTAACTGGTTCACCGCAGATGAACGCGACTGTACTTATGTCTCTAGTTACAAGGTTTTATACACCATTTTAAATCTGCGTAAATTATTGTCATGTCGAATTATTCGAATTATTCAGCTTTACATATTTTTTAAGTAACGAGCCTTTTTGGAAAGTAATTACAAACTAAGATAACAATATTCACCAAAGCTTTTTAGTGATATGGAGCTTTTATACTTATGAGAATTTTATACCTTAACGCATGTAACACAGTCGTAAAATTTTAATTGTTTTGATTAAGTTTTGAAGCCAACAAAAGTTTGTAACAATAATTCGAGTGCTAAGAATACAGATATTTATTCTGTTCCTAAACACGTAGTCAAGGTTTAATTCGCTCTTTTCTCTATTTCGCTGTATAAAACTTTGGCTCTATAATGGAGTTTGGAAAGTTGACCTTGCAGTTACTTAATTTCGATGTAAATATTTTCGCAATCCGTTAGGTTTCATTCCATATTTGAATACAGAAATGTATTCTGTATTTAAATTATTGGAAGAGTTTTTTTTTAAAGTTTAATGGCTATATAGAATATGCACAAATATAATTTTGTTTTTCCTCTCGCAGCGCACTGTTATGGTATTCATGACCTATTTCTGGTTGTGCTCGTAACCCGTATATTTTCGGAATGTCCACATCTGAGGCCGCTGTCGTATAAATGTTGTTTCATTATTTTTGTTTACATTCACAGCGGTTACCGACTATAACGAGTTTACATTTCAATTTAGAACCGGAAAGTTGTTTAATTTGGTATGAATCCAATGCTAACAAATGTCGACGTTTGGGAATGTTTTAAAAGCTGTAAATGATATTTTTGATTAATTACCGATAAAACGACGGATAAACAGCATTTCCAAGTAGCAAAATAAATTGAGATCTAGTAATAGGATCGCATTGTCATAAGAACATGCTATATTGCCTTTTTTTTTCAATGTATATGTTTCGGCAATCCAAACTTAATTACAAAAGCCATGCCTGGTTACCATATTAATTTTAACGTTCCTCGGATGGACATGTCGAAATCAATTTAAATTGTCGAAAATTTCCGCTATTAAATAGATATGGGTCAAGTAAATACAAGCTATAAAACGTAAATTATACAATCACAATATTCTCTTTGTGCGTAAAATGTTTTTTAATGTTATAGTAGTTTAGAGGTAGGTCGTAAGTTTCTTGTTAAATTGGATAACATCACCACTTATAGTAATTCTACATTCTGTGGGATTAGTAAATTATTCAATAAAACCAATCTAAGATAACAATTTAAGAATATTGCATAAAACTGCAAAATCGACATACAAACATCAATTGAATCATATGTATCGCCAAGGCAGGGTAGACAGCATACCTCCTCATCTAGAGACTACAAAAATGTAAAACAGATAAAAAAACCTACAAAAGACAATTTTGGTCATCCTCTAAACATAGACTAGGTTCATCGGCTGCCGACGTCAAAAAAACTTTTGCATTACGACAACTAGGTATAGATATGAACTTCAAATTAAAAGGGTGATTTTTGTATCCTGACCTCAATTACAATCCACGAGAGGGCGGTACCGTCAGTTGATAATGTCTTGAGCTATTCTTGTATTTATGTTCGTTCTTAATTAGTGTCAGCATTAAAATGTTGATGTCAGCCCTGGGTCAAACTTTACAACCGTAATAACACTGATGTACTGTCTTAAGTAACAAAGCCAGTTTTATTATCCTTGCAAGGCGTAGTCGGTCGTTTACGACGTATTTAAGGATTTAGGGTGGGGTCGAATTACCCGGAACGGCACCCATTAGAAGGGTAATTTCCTATTGACGTAAAATGCAGGACTACGTAGATCTGTACAAAGTTTTAACAACATTCTAGTAGAGTAATAAACATTACCCGAATATGAACTATATATGAACCTTACGAATGTGACATATATTTTACTACCTGATGCTCGCGACTTCGTCCGCGTGGATTCAAAATAATTGCAAAAATATAGCCGATGTTACTTAGTGATAACATAGCTTTTTACTAATGCAAGAATTTTTGAAATCGTTCCCGTAGTTTTTGAGTTATTTCAATACATATAAAAATCCACAAATACAAAATTTTTCCACTTTATAATATTCATATAGATTGGGTTTTAAATTAACTTAAGCTCTTCTAGCCTTTTACTATAGTTTTAGAGAATTGAAAGAATAGGTTTCTTTTTCGTAAAAACACTGCTTTGAATAGTGTATAATTAAAAAAATACTGGGAGGTAAAAAAAGGGTTATGGATTCG